AAATTTTTTAAAGAATATTTATTTTTAAATTTTGAATAAATTAATCTTTTTCAATTTATTTTAATATTTATTTTCAAATAAAATAATTAATAAATTAGATTAAAAAATTAATAGAAAATAATGATAAATTATAAATTTATTAAAAATAAAAAAAATAATAATAATAGTATCTCTTGAAAATTAGAGTTGTTCTAGTATTTATTAGCTAAATTTTTAAGTTATATTAAGAAAAAAATTATAAATATTAATATAAAAGAATTATTCTTTGAATATTATAAAATAAATAATTATTAAAAAGCAAAAAAATATATTTTTTTATATTTTTATAAAATTTAATAATAAAATTATATAATTATTTTTAAAAATAATAATAAATATTTAGATATTCTTATTATCATAATATATTATAAATAAGTTATAAACTTTTATATTTTTAAAATAATAAAAATTTAATTTATATAATCTATTAATATTTAAGTATAATATAACTAAAAGATATTTCTTATTTTTTTATATCTAACAAGATAATATATTATTAATATTTAATTAAACTTTAATTAATAAAAAAAGCTTAGTTTTATTTATATTATAAATATAATTAAAAAAATAATCTAAATATTTATTATATAATAATAATATCTTAATAATAATATATTAATTAGCAAATACTTCTTTATTAAGTTTTTCTTGATAAATTTAATTTTATTTCTTGAATTTTTGGAGCTATTTATAAGAAAATATCAATATATTTTTAGAAATATTTAGCTTTTTTACTAAAACTTGATTTTTTAATTAGTAAGATATTATTTAAAATTACTTTATATTAATAAATAAGTATAAATTCTTTAAGAGCTAGTTTAAGTTTAGAAATAATAATAAATTTATGATATTTTAGAATTTATAACTTTTATTATTAATTATTATTTTATAATTTTAAAAATTCTTATAATTATTAACTAACTCTTTACTTCTCTTTAATTTATTAAATATTTTTCTTTTAACTCTTTTATTATTATGAATATAAAGATAAATTTTATATTTATTAAAGTTACTTTATTTTTTGATAACATAAAAGTAATTTATAATTTGATAAGAATAGAAATAAAAATAAGTTTATATATAAAAATGATCAGAATTTTGTTGTAATAATTAGTTAATTAGTATAGAATTACATAATTATTATTATTATAATCAGTTTGTAATAAATACAAAATGACTATTACTTTTCTAATATGTAATTTAAATCTAATATTAAGAATAAAATAATAAATTATAAATAATTTAAGACTTTTAAGAACTTAATTAATATAAGTTTAACTCTTATTAGTTAATTATAATTAGAAATTATATAGATATATTTAGAGAAATAATATTATTATAATAGAACTAGATCAATTATTGCATATGTAAAATATAAAAGATGTGCACTTAGTATTATAATTCAAACTTGAAACTAGACTAAGAAATATATTTAGAGAGAGTATATACTTATAGAGCCTTTATTTGTAAAAGTTTAATTTAGATCAATCAATCAATCTTTCTTTCTATTTTGTTAAATTGCATCATTATCAAATTTGTAAATATAAATTTATTGACATTAGCTTTATTTATATACCACATGATGTATCATAGTTACGTGTTATATTTCAGCTTTAGATTCATTTTCTATTGAACAATCAGTGATTCTGATTAATATTTACTTTGATCATATGCTTTAAATTGCTCTTTATAGAAAACTAATTTAAGAGATATTGCTGTGAAGAGTCATAAATGATTGTTAATACTTTAATTATCTTCAGTATACTTATTATTTTATTCGTTTATATTATTTGTCTGCTTAAGAGAATTATAATTCTATCTTATTTAAAATGCCATAATTATAATATCTCGTTAAAGATGGTATATTCATCAACTTGTAAATACATATACATAAATATTATCACCAGTATGTGTTAAATCTATGATTGTAATGCTCTTAAAAGATCTTTAAATTTTCAAAAAAATCTTTATTTTATAAATCATTCAGTCTAATTTCACATAGTTTTTATAATCACGTTTATTTATTGAGTAAAATTCGCTCATTAATTAAAAAATAATATTACTTTTATAAACTTCTTGGCGTAAAGATTCTTATGAATAGATCAAAGAAAATCATAATAAATAAAATATTTACAAATTTGCATCAAATATTAAAAATAAAACTTAGAAAGGCAAATACAATATATAAGATAAAATAATTCAGGAATGATAACAGAATACTAAATATATAAATTATAATATTTATATGTAATTTCAAAGTTAAATAAATGACCAAAAGTTTTAAAAAATTGAAGATTCAACCATTTCGGTAGCTCGATCATGATGTTCTCTTTAGCCTTTTGATACCATTTTAATGCTAAATCAAGATTTTTTGAAATACCTATTCCATATTGATAAAATTTTCCAAGATTAAATTGAGCTTTATTGTGCCCAGCCTCTGCAGCTTTTAAATACCAATTAAATGCGTTGTTATCATCTTTGATTTTCCCTTCTCCATATTCAAAACATTGTCCAGGTCTAAAATAAAAATGAGAATTACCATTGTTAGACCAGCTTAAAAGAAATTTAAATAAGATTTCTTCTATATTTTTTGAAATTAAACCTTTTTCATAACTATATCTTTAAAAAATTAATTTCACTCATGACCGGTATTAGCAGACTTTAAAAAAAACTCTAATGCTTTTTCATTATCTTTTTCTATTCTGCTATTACTGTACAATAAAGCAAGATTATATTGTGCGTCAAGGTTTCCTAACTCTACTGCTTTCAAATACCACTCAAATGATTTTTTTCATCTTTTTGTGTTCCGATTCCTTCATTATAACAAAAATAAAGATTATTTTGTCCATTAGCATCTCTACCCTCCGCTGTTTCAAGTACCACTCAAATGCTTTTTTCTCATCTTTTTGTGTTCTGATTCCATTTAGATAACACCCGCCAAGATCATTTTGTCCTTCTCCACTCTGCTGATCTCAAGCACCACTCGAATGCTTTTTTCAAGTACGTGCATAATAAATGGTAATTCGTATTCCATGCACTCTGCAATTTCCTAAACTTTATATCGGTAGCTTGAAATCCATATCTATCAACATTCTTCCTCATATACATGGACACATTCCAAGCTCGAATATGATTGTAAGCAGTTGGGCGTTTATCAGGATTCTAATTCCAGCAACGTTTTATTAAATTGATATAACATTCGGGAGCAATTCCACTTGGAATTTCAGGTCGCATTCCATTACAAATATCAAAAAAAGATAAATATCATCTGTTTTACCATAGAACGGAATCCCACCTGTTGCCATAATCCAAACTAACATGCCAAAACTATATGTATCTGCTGCAAGTATATATTCACCAAAACTTCTGGAGCAATATATGTTATCCCCCATAAAATGGATGAGGTATTTCTCATTCATTTATTGCATGAGATAATCCGAAATCAGCTATTAAAGCCCATTCCTCACCATCATCAGCTCTATGCTGTAATATATTGCTAGGTGAGATCGTGATGAATAAACTCGTTTTGATGAACGAACCGCAAGCCACGAATTATATCATATAAATTTCCTAATTTTTTCTTCCAATCCATTGTTGCAAACCTTTCGCTCAGATAGGCTCTTAAGTCTCCTTTATTTGCATAATGAGTTACTAGCATGTAGTCGCCAGTAGATGTTTCCCTGGTAATACCGCAAAAATGTAGGATTCGCCGAGAATGAAATTTGTAATTCGTTTCGAACTAAAAAACAATAAATTATTATGAATAACTTGAATTTTTGTTTAATCATATATTTCATAATGTACTTTCTTACCTCATGCTTTAGATGTTTGTGATTTAAGGATTTTTGATGCAAACGCTTTAATGCTATCTTTGTTGGTCCAGTTCTTATTCATTTATTTGCTTTTTCATCCAAGCTCCATCTTGGCCCCTCTTTCCATATTGCTGAATACACCGTTCCAAACCCTCCTTTATCGATTTGCTTAATATCCGTAACATGTTCATATGGGATTAATTCAAAATAATCACGATGATTGAAGATTCTAATTGTGTTTTCCGTATAACTTCATCATAATCTTCATTTCCACTTGTCCAATTACCAAAATTTTTTTGGAATTTTTCGCATTCACATTTCTTACACCAATGTAGGCTCATCATTTCGTATTACAATGCTTGCAAATTTCTGGTTCTGCGATGCCCGCGCAAAACACTTTGACTTTTTGTTCGTTTTGTTGTATCGTAGGCATGTCGCAAAAGTCATTGAAAATTAATTTCAAATTAATCAATTTAAAGCTACTCGCCGTAGTTATATTCATTCAATTGCAGACAACTTACTGTATAACATAGAACAGGAATTTTGTGTTATAAAAATAAAAAGTAATTTATAGGAAAATTCACAATAAAGCATCTTTCGTAAAATTGATTTTGATTATGTTCAAATCTCTTACAAAGATCTAATCACCCAATCAAATTATAATAGATGCATAAATCAATATCCGGAGACTTCAGTTTTCATAGAGAAATGGATTACCTCGGGATTGTTTTTGATACAAATATTTGCTTGCTTTTCTGTGGATTTAATTTGGGCATGGGATAATGAACGTACTTGATGTAACTATATACATGTACTGTAATAGTTCCAATGAGTTCACGACCCAGACCAGTTAGTGAACTGGTTTTTTGGTCCTAATTTCGAACCAGTATATGGACGCCATTATTAAAGTTGCTTGTCGTAAATAATAAATTGCAACCTATGGGCTGCAATCTTGGTTGAAAAAATCCTTTATTCTCACAATGACTTACTGGTGATTAAATGACCATATAATAAAATAATTCATAAAAACAAGTTCGATTATATGACATTGATATTTGGTCATTTCAAACATCCAGTCTGGACCGAATCACCCCTGCTGTATAAATGCATTAATTGATTGTTTTTATTGATTCAATTCATGGATATAAAATGTATGATCCAGCTGGACCTGGTCCGACTTATGACAACTTTCAGTCGGAAGTTCTCATTGTGAATATCTATGCGTCCAATAATAGGGAGAATTTAATTTTTACTTCAATCTACATGTATTACGTTTACATACATATATACATGTATCACCTCCTTGGTACGTTATCTCTTGTCCAATGCTTGCTGCATCAATGTTTAATGGAATGGTGTGCTCTCTTTTCGTTTCAATTAGTCACAGCAATTTTGCGAAATTTGTAATCAAGCTCATCGAACAAATCTCTTTAAAACCCATATCAATATTTATTTATTAAATGACCGCAGCTAGCACAGAGACGCATTAGTAGTGATTGTACACAAATTTGTTCCATATCATTTGATGATATTAAAGTGCTGGAAGACTTGCGTGAGCTAAATAGGGAGCACGAAAAATATGCAGTTTTTGTGGAGTACAACCGAATGATCCTCCCACAATTTCAGGAATTAAAGAGTTTAATGAAATTATGGTAACAGTATCAGAACATTATATCACTTTGCAATTATAATAATTAATATCAGAATGTCTGCAAATAATTGAGTAATTCACAACCAACAATTAAGCGTCTGATCCAATTACTTTTCTACAACAACAATAGGAAATATGAGTTCATGACTTCTTTAGTAATTACCCGATACAAATGGTATTATCTCTTTTGGACTGATGTCCAATACCAATTCGTGAATCTATCCATGCCCCTTGTAAATTTTATTATCAGTTTCAATTTAATTTCTCGAGAAACATACATTCCCGGTTACGTCTAGCTATCTATATCGATGTTTCTTGCGGTTCGTATTTACAAATTTTCTCTTGTCAAGCTTGTGTTTGATCTTATTATTCAAGAAATATTCAGTAAAATAGAATAGTGCAGAAATAGAGTTAGTATTAATCAAGTTGTATATAAAGGCGGGAGGTTCATCCTTTAACATCATGCTTTAATCAAATAAAAAAATTAATCCTTTACCTGTAATCTCCTTTTAATTGTAAAAAACCGATTGTTCTTTTATTTTGGTTATTTTCAAACCTTGCGTACAAGTAGGGAACGACCTCACTCAAAATATTCCATAATCCGACTTTGATTGTGTTGGCAGAAACTAAGTCCAACCTTCGAACTTGGAACATTGTAGTTTTTGGTTAGCTGAAACCATCTGGGTCGTTGCTCCTGAAGTAACCTTTGTGACGCGCATTATTGTGTTGTAGATAATCAGAAATCTCCTCGAAACCCGCTTAGTAGACTCTTTTGTTGCTGGTGATCAGAAACCTCCTTTGTATTTCGTCTAAATAAACAATAAACACTTGTAAAGTTGATTTGCGTACAAATCACCACGGAAACCTTCAGAATAATAAAGAAACCCTTTAATTGTAAAACATTCGGTCTTTCGCTTAATCTTACCTTGCTGCACTTGCTCTCTAAATCCACTAATTCCCGTAAGTGCACAGCAGTACATAAACTATTATATGTCCTACCTATAAATCTGCAGTTTGAATGAGTAAGGCCCACGGAATTTATGACCAAAAAACAATTCTCATTAAATATGACGAGAACTGTTAGCAATACTTTATTACTGCCTATGATATTAATATTTAGTTTATTTTGTATAAGTTCCATTCAAAATGTGTTCTAATTCTTTTCGCAGAACTCAATTGATACCGATATATTTGCTATAGTTAAGAGTATTTAATTCCATCTTATAAATGGTTTAGCTGTGTTGAAATGATGACAAAAATTTCCATATTTAGATGTGTTTTTATCGTAATTATCGTGGAGTCACTCCTTTATACATGTATAAAGCTTCGACTTCGGTAGATTCCTATGTTAAACGCTAATTATTTGTTTATTGTACTTAAAATGTTACTTTGGTTTGATGCATGAAGATACGAATTACATGTATCGGTATATCGTTATGAAATTTAATCTTTAGCGTAAATACGATTTATCGTTGATTTGACAGAACTCGCGAAATAGCGATCTTTTTCCCCAAAATCACCATAATTAACTATGACTATTAGTATTCTCTCAAACTTGTGTTTTAACGAACTCTAATCGTTAGCTTGATCCACTAGCTTTCTGTAACGGCATCAATTAATTGAAAAGTGAAAACATTAATTGCAAATTACGCACACTATAATACGTAGAAGTTTTTGAATAAAATATTAAATTTATTTATATTGCTATTTTTGAGTAGATAATAACATCACTTTAACAAATAATTAAATATTTATATAAAGTCAATTGCTATGCAATGTTATGTAATAAGCAGGAACCAAAATATTGAATGTCGAAAATGAAATTATTTGTATGTCCCTGTATATCCTTGTAACAGAATTGAACTTTAGAGAGAAATAAAAATCAAATTATTATTAATTTAGTCATTACTTTTTTCTAAAAAAAAAAGTAGCGTTCCTTTTTATATTGTCTTATCTTATCTTATTGGAAATGTTTTATCATGAATACGAAGAGATGCGATATTTCTTCATTTTCCTTGACTGAACCTAAATTTCAAAAAAAAGGGGAGGTGGAATATTTACGATTTATATATAAAATGCACCTATATCATTTGAAATTGAAATAAAGATTCGACTAATATAAATTGCATTTGCTTTTTATTGTTTATATTTATAGAGTATTTTTAGCAATTTCATCTCTTCATCAAACTCTTTATTCTATTTTTCCAGCTTAAGACGCTCAAGTTTTTGTATTAAGAAATATTAAAATAACTGTAGTATTGAAAATACTAATAAATATTTAATTTGCTTTTTGCTGAATTGCAAATAGAGTCGATAAAATCGCAAATTTCTTCAGCAGTTGTTGTTCTAGTTTCTGAAATAGTACCCTAACTAGGGATGCGACCCAAATCTATAGGTTTGGATTTTGGATCTTGGTCAAATCCCAAATACATGTGCATGTAGTATTTACATCACTTCTTATTTGTCACAATCCCAAACATTTCGGCATGTAAAAAGAGTTTCAACGAACAATTCCAAATGTTTCAGCATGTAACAGTAGTTTTGACCTATAATCCCATTTCGGCATGTACCGTAATTTGCCATTTAGAATACTCCCCTATAATATCATACCCCGGCTCTAATCTATAGGTTTCAATATTGGTAAAATGTATTATATCCGGATATATTATAAATTCAAATTTTAATATTCTCCTAAAAATATATCCGGGTATATTATTTTGTATCTTAATAATATACCCAAGCATAATTCCATACATTTGTAATATCAATTGTTTCAATATTATAATAATCATCTTCAAAATTATCTTGATTTTCCAAATTATTATTTTCATTCTCTTCATTTTCAATTATATGAATTTGATCAGATTTTTGAGGATGTTTCAACCCAACTGTAATCAAAAATTAAGATTATCTTCAGTTCCATCACAGACATTAGAAATATCACAACACTTAAATAAGCATTTAATAAGATGAGAATCAACTTTATTCCATGCAATTTTTACCTATTCAGCAATAGCACTATAACTTGGATATTATATATAATCAGAAGATATCAAATTTTTTGTTCTTCTGCCATCCAATTATTATATAATTGATAATACTATAAAATATGTAAGCTATTTAATATATCAAATAAAAATAATATAAAAATATTTAACTTTATCTTTAATTAAATGATTTGTTTATATATATATCTAATGATTAAAGTTTGCTAGTCAATTTATCCAAAATTATAATTATATTTGTATTTTTTTTATTAAATTAATATTTAATAGAATTAATTAAATAATCATAAAAAAATTCAAAATTAATAAAGAATATATAATAATATATATTTATTTTATTTATTTTCTATATATCAAATTATTTCATTACTATTTATATATTCTTCTCAGTTAATACTCTAGCAGAAAATCTTTAATATAAAATTTATTAATTTAAAAATTAATATTAGAAATAATTTTTTGTTATTAGTTATATATATTAATATAATAATAAAATTAGATTTTTTATGTTTTATTATCTGAATACTTAAAGTATTTTTTAATAATTATATTATTAAATATATCAAAGATAAATAATATTTCATTTATATTTCTGATTAGTATCAAAAAATAATTATATTAAATATATCAATATAATATAAAATTTATATTATACTAATTTTAACTTGCTTGATAATTTTTAGATATTTAAATAAATTATAATTTTTTTATTAAAGATTTTATTTGATTATTTTCTAATACTAAATATTAAAACTTCATACTAGAAGTAAAATTATTTTATTTAAATCTTATATACTTTAACTCTTTATATTTATATATTTAGTTTTATATTTATTTAAATTAGATATTAAATATTTTTGCTATATTATATTTACTAATATTAGATTTATTTTTTGAGATAAATAAGCATAACTTATTTTTTATATATATTTTAACTATATATTTTAATTTTAATATTTGTTATATGAGTAAAATTTTAATTATAATATATTATTTTTAACTCTATTATATTTTTTATTAAATTATTAATTAAAAATTTAGATTTAATTTAATAAAAATAATATATTATTAATATTATATATTTAAATAAAGAAAAAAATTAAAAAAAATTATATAAAAAAAGATTAGTTTATATATTAAAAAAATTTAATAAAATTATATAATATATATATTTAAATAAAAAAAAGATTATATAAAAAAAATTAATCTATATATTAAAAAAATTTAATTTATGTTATATAAGATATATTGTTACCATAGTGACATAAAATTTCTTAATTTCTTAATTTTTCCCTAGTTATGAAATATTACATTTTATTATAATTTTATTTATTTTATAATTATCCTTATTTTCTATATCATTTATTACT